TGACTCATTTAAAGTGGAAAAAAATATTGATTTATAAGATTTTTACAGCAGTTTTTGCGAAGGTGGCAGTTTTCTGCCTTAGGAACAAATGTGTGATTTTTTTTTAAAGGAACCCCTAAGGGTTAAATAGATAATTAACATCTATTAACTAACTTAATTTTAATTAACTAACATTTTGGACTCAGTGATAGGTGTAACTTCAATAAAAATAGACCATTTAGAAACATTACTGAAGATTTGGAATGAAAACAATGTACTAATTTCTAATGCCACCTTTTAGATATTTCTATTCAGTGCTTTAATTATGTTCAGATATCTTCATTGGAGGCTTTTTCAATCAAATATTGATATTTGTGATAAAATCAGCATATATTTCTGCCACCCTCTGACTGCCATATTATATTTAATATATAATATTTATCTAGATCTGCCCCTGGACATGACATGCAGGTAGGCCCCACCCCTTAAAATCAGCTTTTTTGAGTACAGACAAACTTTCCACTTTCAGCAGATGAATGTGAAATCCTAGTGTCAAACTCTGCACAGACAGTATTCAAACAGCACACTGTAGGGACAAGAAGAATCACTGATTTCTGACTGGAGGGGGGCTTAAACACATAATGAGACTTATCAAGATTTATTTGAGAAAATATAAAGAATACAAATATGTATGGAAAGAACCATTTGTATATTTTTAAACATTTCAATCTACAAATATCTAAAACAGCTCAGTATACCTTGTTCATTAGATATACTGAGCTACATATAAAAGTAATATAAACAACACTGTACAGAAAAATGGCACTGCAGGGAAGAGCTATGTACAGTGCAGATTCAAAGCACTTCTGGTTTTTACTTCCACTCAGCAGTTCCTTTGATAACTCCTTATTTTGTCCTGTCAACGTTCACAGCCGACAGTGTCTCGTTATAGTGGACTGTTCAGAAGAATCAATCACACGTCTGACTCTTATGAGACTGTGATTTCTTCACTGTCCGACTCCGAGAGCTCCGACTGTTTGCTGGACTCTGATGGAGAGGAAGGATTGTGATGGTGGTGGTGGTGAAGGTGTGACACCTGGCTGTCCAGCTGTGCTTGGCTGGTGGGTGCAGTCCTGTGGCAGTAGGCGCTGCCCACGTCTGTAAGGTCAGGGTGGGGGTTGGTTTTGGTGGGGAGGGTCTGCTGGCGACAGCCGCCCGTCGACAGTAGCTCCCTCTCCTTGGAGTTCCTCCATTTCATCCTGCGGTTCTGAAACCAGATCTTCACCTTTATGGGAAAAAAGCTATGTGTCAGTATAACTGATTCCTTGGCACTGCTAACCTTGTTCACTGCTGGTTTGGGCAACAGAATGGACAGAATATGTTTTAAATGCGCATTATAATGGGATTGTCTTAGACAGTTGTTTTCAAACTAGGGTGCAGGGACTAACAGGGGTCATTGAGTGGGTTGCAGCAAAAGGAGGAATAGAATATTTTAACTAATCACATTTTATTGGAAGTTGTAACAAAAAAAGAAGTAAGAGCTAGCTGTTTTTATTGATTGTAGTTTAGAGTGATTGTAGTTTATTCATTGATTGACTGTAAAGACTATCTTCAAACCTAAAAATGAAAAAAAGTTGTTGAGTCTCATTTCCAGGGTGTCAGATACACATGTTGTGGGACTATGGGAATCAGACTCAACCAACAATTATCTTCAAGTCTCCAAGTCAAAGCATCTTAATATCTTTCTCAGCTCTGATTGATTGTTTTTCAGGCCTGGTGGATTCTTGCAATTGCCATTAGGAGCACTAGGAGGAGCCACTTTGGGAATCCCTAGTCTAAAATAAACATAACAAAATCAAACAGTCCTTGCTGTGTACCTGGGAGTCTTTCAGTACCAGTTTAGTGGCAAGTTTCTTCCTGTCTGGTTTGCTGATATATTTCTGCTTCTGGAAAGTTCTCTCCAGGGCCTTCCTCTGGAGGTCTGAGAACACGGCCCGCCGTAGCATGCCCCTCCTGGGCTTCCCTCTGGGGGCCAGGGGCCATGAAAACGTTCCTGGGACAGGAACCACAGAGGAGGAAGCTGGAAGGACACACACATATATATATATATATATATATAACAGTTGTTATGTACAGGCATTCTGTAACTGGCTGGTGATGTTAAATATCCAAAATATATAAATAAATAATATATAATAATATATTAATACAATTATTTATAATATTATTAAAAAAAATAATCAAATTCTCTACGGCATCTCTAGATTTTATTAATTTCAGTATTAGTTTTAGATTTTTTATGATTTCTTATGATACGGGAGTAGGTATTACAATACAAACACATTAACACAGTCTCAATAAATGTAGGCCCTGATGCCTTCTCATGCTTATTGTGTTGACAAATTTAACCAAACTGACTAAAACTAAAGACATTTCCTGTACATTTTGAGTTTATTGGAATTCGTTTTATTAGAGCAGAATATTGTTTCAGTTTTTAACTTCTATTTCAGTTAACTAAAGTGTTTTCTGCACACCTAGTTTTAGTGTAGTTTTAGTTAACTATAATCAATCATAATCAATGGCAATATCAGATTTGTCAGTGTATATATGTGTTTTTATCCAGTCATTTATAGACTTTTCCACACTTATCTCCATTGTATCAGTTATTTGTTTGAGTGCATGTTACTAGTATGTAGTTTTGTGTACAAGAAGCTTCACATTTCCCACAGTGGGATTAATAAAGTTGTTTGTTTAATTGAATGTGTCTAAAATCAGATGAATCAATCTTATTTTTCTTTTTCAATCACATTTTCTCAATGCTCCTGTTTTCTCTGGTTTCTGAATGGATACAATTTGGACTAAACTCTGATTTTCACAAGTATATTCTCAGAATATCGTTATCCCTTCACGTTTTCCATCATCGCCACACAGGCTCCCTGGTCTGACGCCGGCTGTAATATACTTGTTCTGCCTGAAATCTGCTGTTTAAAAGCCCAATTTGTCCGGCAGTGGAAACAGAGCCTATGCTAATGAGCCGGGCTCTCCAAAGCTGGGCTCACACTGCCTCTAATGAAGCATGAAGGGGGATTGTATGGGCTGCAAACGCATAGAGAAAGGTAATTGTGTTGTAATGAATTGAGTGGAAAAGGCCGTCGACAGGCCAGTATATTACAGGCCCATTAAAGACAGGTCAGTATAATGCAGAGCTGTTAGAGTCTTCACTCAAAGTTTAGATACACAGAGCTCAGGGCTGTTCGCTGTCACACACCTTGTATTATTAGAGATATTCTGTCTAAATAAAGACTTTGTTGAATTGATGAATGTGCTGCTCAGTGTTTGGGGAAAAAATTAAAGTTCAAATGTGTGAATTTAACAGGGATCTTGTCAGCAACAGCTAACTCAGATCTTGAAGGTGTTTGTGTGTGTGTGCGTGTGTGTGTGTGGTTTTGCCTCCTATTGGTCATGGTATTGGGAGCTTTGTGGGCAGGCAGAGGGGCTTGGTGGGAAAAACGAAGGCGCGTGAAGAGGCACCGGCTTCTCGAGCTGGGAAGATACCCGCCTCACATTTAGACCATGACAAACGGCACTAATATATTTAGAGCGTGACAAACTGGACTAATTTGTAGATTAGGACAACTGGTGCTAATGTCAGCAGTCAGTGCGCCGCCTAAATAGGCCTTTCAAATTGGCGGAGCTGATTCCATGCTGTCCGGGGAATTCCCATGCTAAAAGGCTGACAAATGTCTCCAAACTGAGCCCACTGAGACCTTGCCATCCGCCCGCAGCTGGATGAATGAGGTTCCCCAGCAGCTTCAGACTCTATAAAATGTAAAAACTATTCGGACTAAGCTTGCCAGAATTGTATGCTTGAAGGCCTCTTCAGTTTGAATGTGTAGTGTGTCAAAAAAATCTTTTTTTATGAAATTTTTATGAAAATAACTTTTTGTCATATTTGTTGAAACTTTCCACTATATCCTGACAGTAGAACATGAGACAGATAATCTGTAAAAAAAAAAAAAAATCAGGTTCCTCTGGCTCCTCCTAGTGCTCCTAATGCTATTTACAAGAATAGATTCTTATGGAAGCCACAGGAACCTGATTTTTTTCACAGATTATCTGTTTCATGAACTACTGTCTGGACACAGCAAACATTTCTGCAATTATGAAATATATTATACATTTTTATAAAAATGACCTACTGCAGCTTTAAGTTCCACCAAGAAGACACACATTTGTAATCACAGTCCAGTGTATATCAGTGAATTTGTTAATTAATATCCATCCATCCATTAACTATAGTGTGTAAACTATACCACAGCTTTCAGGGTTGCTAGTTGCAAAGAAACATTCCTAGCTGGAATCATGTAGGCCTACTTGCTTATGTCAGCACATATAATAATAATAATAATAATAATAATAATAATAACAACAATAATAACAATCAACTGATCAGTCCCTCCAGGCTTTCCCTGTTTTTTATTTACATTCATTTGAATGGCCAGGATTAAAGAAAGAAGAAACCATAAGTTTGAACATTTTTTAATTTAGGAGGTGCTGCTGGACTTTCAACACCCCTACTTCAAGCACCCATGGTTGCAGCCTACAATGTCTAATTGATGGCCACTTCTCTAGAAAATTGTGATGCATGTTGCGATATTCCTGCTCCAATTGGCCTTTTAAATAACTTAAAATGATATTTGTGTTCAATTTATATACTTATGGCACTTTTTTATTGTCTCATTGTTTGTTGCCTATTGTTTGTTGTCTGGTGATGTTGCTTATGCATATACTGCTAGCTGTACAACAAATAGCCCTTCAGGGATAATAAAGCTACCCTTGAATGATGGGTTAAATTTGCAGTGATTGGTTGAATTTGCATTAATTCTTGGGTAGTTTTACGCATTATCCACAATGATACAGAAAAATAGAAATGCATGGAAAAAATAGCACATTGTCAATATTTTGAAGGTTTATCTTTTACAGCAGGGGTGCTCAAAATGATTCCTTCGGCCCTTGGAAGGAATAAGCTTATTGGTGGACCAAAAGCAAACACCTGTTGCTAAATAATAATTAGGGATCCTGCATATTTAAAACATACATTTTCTAATCTCACAAAAGACAAATAAAACAATTTTAACAGTGATTCATGTTATTTATTTATTTTATTGTGAAATCTGGAGGCCAAATTGAACCTTATGGGCCCCACTTTGGGTAGGCGGACTCAGGGTGCCAATCTGTCAATCACAGGGCTGATTCATTAATATGTTGATCAATATCAGTTAGAAATTAGTAATATATGGTGGCAACTTGAGTTGTTTTGAATTATTATTAGCTTGTGACTTCTTAATTATACTTTATTATTAATGCAGGGGTTCCCAAACTTTTCCATGCTGAGGCCTCCAAGAAACATTATTTTATGGCTTAGAGCTCCGTTTGGCAACTGACAACACTGACAATACTGTATACAATAGGATTCAATATGTTATTTATTCTTATATTTATATATATATTTAATTATATTTTATAGTATTACAATATATCTAATTAATATATAATATAACCTGTCTATAATAATTGTATTATTATTGTTTTTGTTTTGTTTTTTGCATTTTTCACCTCAAACTTTCTGAGGCCCCCCAAGGGTTCCACTTTGATAAACCTTGTATTAATGAGTTATCTTTATTAACACTGCTGCCAGTTACACTAACCTGTAAATAACATAAACACCAAACTCAAAGTTTGCCAGTGCAGAGAAGTAAGCTCAGAGCAGAGATCAAACATACATATTGGAAATGTGATATATAAAACTGCGTTTGGATTAGTTTTTTAGCCCAACAACCACTCTGTTTAATCTCTGAGGCTGTAAAATGTCATAATGATGTTTGTTTGAGCTTGCTGGGTGGGGTGAGTTTGGTGAGTTTTTGTTCCAGAAAGTGAGCTCTGCAACTGTTGAATCAGTCTGACAAAAATAAATAAAATTCTCACTTTTATCTCACACAAAAACATATCAAGTGAAATTGATCACATCCCATTTCAGCAACTCACAAATCAAGTTTTTATTATTGATATTAATACGTATTAGTATTTGGTTTTCCAAATAGGACTGTGAAATACTAAAATCCAGAATGTTTAATTTATTATTTTTATATTAAAGGAGTCAGTCCTCATAAAGTGACAGATGTAAATGCGATAAAAAATTGTGAATAAGTGTTGAAAGTGGTGGGAGTAAACCATGCAGATCTCACATAAACCAGCTCTGAATGAGCCACTATGCCACTGTTTGTGCGGCACTGCTGAATCCACCAACCTGTAAAATAGGAAGCTCTAATGAACGGATGGAGACTCCCGTCAAAGAAAGGCAAGGGGAAGGACTTGGTCTGAAAACTCTGGACTGTGGAGCGAGCAAAGGGAGAACACAAACTGTAATAACAAATAAAAATAACAATAACAATACTATACACCAGAAATGTATCTGGTAGCTTCGTAGCTTCTGATAATATGTTAATAACAAACACAACTGGAGAAGAAAATGATTTAAACAAAATCATCATCATGCATCATTTTAAGTCTAATGCATCTTAATTTATTGACCACTGATTCATTTACTAGGCAGTCAATACTTTTCTAGGCTATATGTAATATTTTATGCTAAACAGTTAGCATAATAATAATAATAATAATAATAATAATAATAATAACAAATGTTTCCACTCAAACTCACCGCTCCGTGTGGACGGGGCGAGTATCGCACTGACGCCGAACTTGAGGTAGCCGGAGTCCGGGCAGGCAGTGTGCGGAGAGCCGGGGCTCCCGCGGCTCTGCTGGCTGGAGCTCTGAAGCGCAGACCGCTCTGCGCTGGGTCCCAACGGCCGGGGAGAGGCGCCCGGCCCTGGGTTGCCGAGCTGGAGAATGTCCCCGGGACTTCTGGAAGAGAGAGTCCGATGTATGTAACTGACGGGGTGGCTCAACCGTAGGAGATCTTCTACAAGGAAGCCCGAGGGGATTGACCGGGTCAGGGGCGAGGAGAGAGCCGCGGGGGGACGCAGTAAGCCCGGGTAGAGAGGAGGAGGCAGAGCGCTGCAGGGAAACATCATGGTGGTCCGAGCCGGAGCTTTCCTGCTCTCACTGCTGTTTGTTAATGTTCAGCTGGGAACGAAGAGGAAGATTAGCAACACAAACACACTCCGTGCTCTGGGTCTCTGGACTGTCTTGGAGAGGTTTTATACAAGGG